CCCAACAAGACAACAACTCATGTGCTTGGGAAGGGCTCTGCGTGACCGTTGATGCGTGTTCTATCATCTTAGGTGTCAGTGTATCTTCCGCCCTGGAATTTTTGGGGCTCTCACGCTGCACATGTCCCCTTCAAGGTTCGACATCCAACGAGGAGCGCTGGCTCTTTGAGTTTCACTCCTCGCTCGCGTACATTAGCATAGGACTCTTGGAAGCCGCGTGCCTCGTAAATTGAGAAGAATGGGATCCCGAGTGCACCACGGATGCATCCACGAGAAGTCGTAGATCTGAACGTACTATACTAGAGTACAGAAGCCGCAGGCTGGGGGTGAACGTAACCCTGCGCTGACTGAAACGAAAAGGGTTGAAGCCATGAAAGTTAATCACGAGTTGAAGTGCAAACCCTCACTGTGTCGGAGAGAACAGCAAGACCGATTGGTTTTCTGGGATCTGGGATGAACCATTGGAGATTAGCGAGTACCTTAGCTCCGATCGATGACAGCATTCATTCCAGCCATGCGGTTTCCCGCCCATTAGTCGAGAGCATTATGATCTTTACTGCAGTTTGGTGGACCCATTGCATGTAAACGCCCGAACAATTCCCCGTTGGCAGTTTTTGAAGCTTCATCTTGTCAGCTACAGCCGCTTCACAACGACGTGTCAAGATGACCAGACCACGAGTCATCTACTGGTTTCGGACCGATCTACGCCTTCATGACTCTCCAGCTCTCAAAGCAGCATTGGATCTCAAGCCAGAATGTCTCTATCCCATCTGGACTTGGGATCCGCACTATGTCTATCGCGCCCGAGTTGGCTCTAATCGTTGGCAATATCTGCTCGACTGCCAAAACGATCTCTCAAAGTCGATAACAAAACTCAATCCAAAGTCGAAGCTCTTCCTCATTCGAGAGGCACCGCAAACACTGTTACCTAAGTTGTTCAAGGCGTGGAAGATTACGCACCTGGTGTTTGAAAAGGACACCGATGCGTATGCAAGAGAGCGAGACGAGAAGGTGACAGAGCTTGCGAGAAAGGCTGGTGTCCAGGTTATCATGAAGACTGGGAGAACGTTATACGATCCTGATGAGTTGGTCAAGCATAACCACGGAAAACCGACAATGAGTATAGCCCAGGTACAAGCTGCAGGAAAGAGAATTGGACCAATTCCAAGACCCATACCTGCGCCAAAATCACTGCCCGACCCAGGAAATACTGATCTGAAATTTGACCAAGAGAAGCCAGAAAGCGAGCCGGATATCAACGCAATTCAGAGAAACGGGGACGAGGCTTCGTACTGTGCTCTAGCAGGACCGAATGGAGACTTTGCAGTACCGACAATGGAAGAGCTGGGCCTAAAGCCTGCAACCACACCACACCGCGGCGGTGAAACAGAAGCACTACAGGCCCTGGATAAGATCATAGCAAACACCGACTACACAGCGACTTTTGAGAAGCCCAAAACCGCGCCCACTGCTTTTGAACCCCAGTCAACCACCCTCCTTTCGCCACATATGTAAGCATTGTCTTTGTATGAGTGACATGCGATACAAGCACTGACGTTGTACACCGATTTTGCAGGCATTTCGGGTCTCTAAGCTGCCGACTCTTCTACTGGCGTTCTCAAGACGTCGTTGACAAGTACAAAGGAAAAGCCTCACAACCACCCACCAGCCTAACAGGCCAGCTACTGTTCCGTGATATGTACTTCGGCGCGCAAGCAGCCCTAGGCTATTCCTTCGGCCAAACCTACAACAACCCGCAATGTCGTTTTATCCCCTGGCATCTACCATCTAAGATCGATACCAAGTCCAATCTCATCACCGGCAAGTATTTAGTAGACAACGCCGAGGCAGAAACTCATTTACATCGCTGGAAACACGGTCAAACAGGATTCCCTTGGATCGACGCTCTGATGCGTCAACTTGCTCAGGAAGGTTGGATCCACCACCTTGGCCGCCACGCCGTTGCCTGCTTTCTGACGAGAGGTGGATGTTATATTGATTGGGAACGTGGAGCAGAGGTATTCGAAGAGTGGCTCATTGATCACGAAGCAGCATGTAATATCGGAAATTGGCAATGGCTGTCGTGCACGGCGTTTTTCGCACAGTTCTACCGATGTTACTCACCCATTGCCTTCCCGCAGAAATGGGTAAGAGATGTTCCTGCACGAGCTGCATGTGAGGCATGCACTGACTTCATACACGTACATTTTAGGACAAAGATGGAGATTTTGTGAGAAAGTACGTTCCAGAACTGGCAAACTTCGATAAGAAGTATATATACGAGCCATGGAAAGCGCCAATTGCAGACCAGAAGAAGTGGGGGTGTTTGGTAAAAGGGAGTGGGTCTGAAGAGGCCGGTGATGGCGCGATGAGAGTCTACCCAAAGCCTATGTTTGACTTTGGGAAGAGAAGGGATATTTGTATCCAGGGCATGAAGAACGCGTATCATATCAACCTCTATGGGAATTCGCCCCGAGTTCTCGATGGCACATGGCGCAAGCTCTTTGACAATGAAGCGGAGGGACCTACTGAAGGAAGCAAAGGACCACCAGGTGCGATGATAAAGGAAGAAGATCATGAAGATGCAGATGGACATGAAGAGAACATGCATGTGGACGAGCCGCCCAGCCCTAAACAAGCGAAGAAGATGGCGATGCGGAGCGATCAGAAAGCAGGACATAAGAGAGAGGCAAGTCAAGGAACACTGGATGGAATGTTCACAAGAAAGAAGAAGAAAGACGGAGAGATCTTTCCTAACGAGACACACTTTGGGTAGCCGTCTTTTTGAGCAACAAGTCCATTCATAGAGGCTACCACGACACGACAAGCGAGCAGCAATGTATCTGAGCCCGACTCAAGTAAAAAAAAAACAGGGGTATCACACACGCACATCATCATTGCCACAACTTAGGCACTTGCTATCCGTCCTGCACCAACGACTGTCCAGAATGCCTCCTCTCTCTTTTCCCTCTCTCCTTTGCTCCCCCTTGAATCGCCCAAACCCCTCTCTTCGGCGTTTACATCTGCTTCAAATTCCAGACGCACGAATATTGGTATCTCAAGCAGATCCTCGTCTTCGTCCAACTCGTCCTCGCCCCCAAGCTCACTAAGGAAGCCCGGAATGACTTCGATAGCCACACTTGTCCAGTTCCTCCCCTTGTCCCAAATTTTTCCTGCTTCGATCTGCCCTGTTTCTGCGTTGATGGTTGAGCGGCGGGGCATGGGTGCGGGAGATGAGGCGAGTGCGTCGTCCCAGACGTCGGTATTGGCGCCAACTTCGAACTGAGGGCATAATATTGTCACGCGGGACTGCACTTTGCCAGGAGTGGTGCTTGAAGTGGCTAATGTGACCTGAATAGGGTCGAAGAGCGGGTTGCTGACGTGTAAAAGGAAGTGTGTCGCGATCCCTGATCGGAGATTGTTGTAATTGAAAGGAGGTTGCGGGGTGGGCATAGAGCCTGGAGGAAGTGGTACGACTGGGTTGGTCGGTGGTAGTGCACGAATGCTGAGTCGGGGAATGTGGTTCAGTGCCAGCAGCTTGATTTTGTACCGAGTTGATGTTATCTTGGACTCGGGCTTGGATAGGATGTGCCGACATGACCGGCATCGTTTCGATCTCTTTGTACAAAGAAGGGTTGGGACTGGTCGGAGCTCGTTACTGAATTGCACGTAAGGGTCGAGTTGTGCGAGCTTCTGGGCAGGCGACAAAGTACTACCCCACCCGTCCCGCTTGATGCGCTCAATCGCTGCGCTATCTGCTGCAGGGTCATGGGCGACGAGGCCCTCTAGTTCTGACGCAGCCTCTCGCATAGGCGTTGGCTTGTTACGTTTCTGCTTTTTCGCTGTATTCGTCGAGTATAGATTCATGATTCGGGAGTAAGCTGAGGGCGAGGAGAAATTCATTTCCAGAGGGTTCGCTGGCGTCTGGGATTCGAGCTGTGCTTTGTAAAAAGCACCGAGGTTCGAGAAGAGATCGTCGCGGGTCGGTGGTTGGTGATTTTCTACATCCATGACTGTCGAGTCGCTGGAAGGGGATAACGGGTTTCTGGAATCTCGCTGCCGAGCCTCCAGCTCCTTGCGCCTCTCGCGCTCCTTGTCTCGCTCTTTGGACGTTGGTATTGGTTTTCCTCCATTTGCTATCCGCGCAATCTGCGAGTATACGCCTGTGTGCTTCTCAAACTCTATACCCGTCTCTATAGTACTCCAATGGCAGTACGGACAGGCCAGTATGTGTCGATCGGGCACTCCTTGGTCGGCATCGGGATTGTCGAGGAGGTTGACTATGAGAGGCGAAACGCACACAGGGCAATTGAAGCAGTTACGGGTGCATCGGTTGCCATCGCTCTTAACCACGGAACTTGGTACTTCGAACAGGCAGTTGGGGCAGTACCAATTCAGTGTCTCCTCTATCACGCACCGTGGACACCGTATTTGCAGGCAATCTTCACAGTAAAGAAGGTGCTCGAGTGGATACAGAGCGTAGTTGGAGCGAGGGTTCTTGGGATCCAAAGTTTCTTCGTCGTCGTCAAAGGCGGCGAGGACATGCGAGGTGCGTTTGGTAGAAGTCGTCGCGTTGCTGTCGAAGCAGTCGCAGGCGTAGTACGTGTAGGGAAAGGCTTGTGCCATGGCGAAGCAACCAGTTCGGATCGGCAGCCAGAACACGGTCACTGCTTCTCCTCTTGTCTAGCCGGTAACCTGTGGGTGTCACGATGTGGGAGTCGTGGTGGTGAACTTCTGGACATGGCGGGTCGATCGCGGTGGAGCCAAACGCCGATTGGTGCAGCAGCTCCAGGGTCTTGACGTATTGCTTTCTCCGTCTTCTCGCTCTTGCGCGTCCCTCTTCCACTCCTGCAATATTCAACCCCGTTGCGCCGTCAATTCCTGACCCTGCTGGAACCATGGCGACCTTTTCTGTACGCGCTTTCATTCCACCACTAAGGCGGCGGTGTCTACCCCTCCAGACGACGCGGCGATATGCCGTACAAGCTCCCGGCGCCCCCATGATGGAGATATTCAGCGGGCAGCAGAAATGGCTGCAGAAAGAGCGGGCAGCAGCAGACAGAGAAACAAGCAGAAGCGTGGACTATCTAAGAGACGAAGTCGCCTCGAGGTTGTGTGAGCGAGTCCTGGTACGACAATTGGTTATCAACTAAGAACAACAGCTAACACAGGCACAGGACATAAACCGCCACTTCCCAAAAGTCCTCGATCTCGGCGCCAATGCATGCAACCTATCCCGCGCACTCACCTTGCCCTCCGAAGACGCCCCGGATAAAGGCCCACGGTCAAAGCGAATTGGAACAATCACAGCGGCAGACTCCTCGGAAGCCCTCTTGTATCGCGACGCCGATTTGCCCTTCAACAAAGAGATTGATATTGTACGACAAGTCCTATCGACATCCGAACTGCTGCCATACGAAGCCAACTCTTTCGACGCTGTCTTGAGCAGTCTGAGTCTGCACTGGATCAATGATTTGCCTTCGGTGTTGGCGCAAGTGAACAATATTTTAAAGCCGGATTGCCCTTTCATAGGGGTCATGATGGGAGGAGATAGCCTTTATGAGCTCCGTACATCGTTGCAATTAGCAGAGCTAGACCGAAGAGGCGGCGTCTCTACGCACACCTCGCCACTAGCCGATGTCAAGGATGTGGGCGGTCTACTACAGAAGGCTGGCTTCAACCTCCTCACTGTAGACGTCGACGACATTGTAGTCGACTACCCCGATACATTTTCCTTGATGAAGGATCTACAAGCCATGGGCGAGTCGAATGCTGTACTCGCACGGGAGAAGGGCCCTATACAGAGGGATGTCTTACTGGCCGCTGAAGGTATTTACAAGGAACTACATGGTAACGAAGATGGTACGCTTCCTGCGACCTTTAGGTTGATCTACATGATCGGTTGGAAACCTAGCCCTAACCAGGCTAAGCCACTTGAGAGGGGAACTGGCATGTTCAGTATCAAGGACCACCTAGAGAAGAACACCAAATCTGGTGAAGGGAAGGAGTAAGCAACATATGCGAATGAAAAGCAGAACCTTGAAAGCAACCTACTGTGTTTGTTCACTTTGTGGTCCATGAAACACCATCATTCAAGTCAAACTCAACGTCGACGAGCAACGCGACGATGAAGTCTAAGAAGACTCATGTATGAAGAAGCTCATTCTTTTCAAGTTCCACCTCTAGGCACTACAACCTACCCGTAAGGCATACACTATGTCTTTTTTTTTATCAAAGTTGTGACCCGGATATTTACGTATACCTATCTCTAGGGAGGGTTTTGTAGTTTGGGGTAGAACTTAAGAAACTGAAGTCCTTTGTAAAGTACATATCGGGATTTCGCGTGCGAATCTAGTTGAGCGATATCATGAATCCCAGTTTACGTTGTGGTACATCTGGTCTCACATAGTATCATCGATAGCTTGGAACTGGTGATTATATATCCCTACTACGGAGCTCCTTGTGCAGATACATGGCATAGCGCTCAACGTGCCCTCTCCTGGAGATATCTTATTTGGTCTTGGTGCTAGAAATGATAGAAGCCGTCCTCTCAGCTCCGCGGCTTGCTTCACATTTTCCAAGCGATTCCCATCGTATTCTCGCTAGACGACGAGGCCGGTGCGCGTCATATCGCCCTTGCGCACCTCGCGATCGCAGGTAGCAAGGCCCTCACCGTTCTTGACGACTTCGATCTTGTGATTGCGCTGAGTATTACAGAAACTCCTATTACGACCAGCCGTGGTGTGAACCGAACGAGTAGCGCCAACGAACTCTACGCCTGTGTTGGACTTTTCGTCAATACATTCACGTGCCATGTGTCCTTCCCCACCACAGTTGAAGCAGATACATGGCTCTTTGGACTTCGGCTTATGACGCGGATGAACTGATGTCGAGTAGTTGTTGCTCTCCCCAGTGACTAGCTTCTCTTGCATGCAATTGCGGGCAATATGACCTGTCTCGTTGCAGCTAAAACAGACTGGGGGCGGACGCTCGGTGGCATCTTTGACTGTGACCGTACAGTTACGAGCTATATGACCCTCACTTCCACATGTGTAGCAAGCGAACGCCTTACGAGCCTTGTGAACCTGGACAGGCTTTTCCAGTTTAGAAACAGTGTTTGGGACAAAGGAGCCTTGCAACTTGGCATTGCAATTGCGCGAGATATGGCCCTTGTTGCCGCAACTGTAGCACTTGAATGGCGTTCTCGACTTGAGATTTCGCTGAGGAACCTGCCGTACTGAAGTAGCCGAGACGTCCTTACGAGAGAGGATGACATCGGCCATGGGAGTCGCGTCAGGTCTGTTTTTGCTGAAAAGACCCGGAGCTACGCTGCCCATCTGCCTAGCTTTGTTCACGGGCTTTGGGACAGGCCTCTTTGGGCGGACTGTTCCAGCAACAACGGCTTCGATGTATTTGATAGCCCAGACGGTATACTGGTCGGTAGTATTCTGGTAGTACGCTTCACTAGTCTTGACACGAGAGATGAAGAACTTGTCCATGGCATCGCCAAGAGCCTTACCAAAGGCAGCGTTCGTCTCAGCAAGTCGTGAGTACGGCTCATAGTTACGGGTCCATGGGTTCACCATCTCCTCGAAGAGACAGTGTAGCAGATGCTCGTAAAGCTCTGGGATCGAAGTTTGGTAAAACTCGATCTCTTGAACAGTAGGGAGAACGTTGTAAAACTTTCCCTTGAGCCGACTATAGACACGCCTCTTGAGTGACTCGTACTCGAGAAAGTCACAGTGCTGGTAAATGACAGTCAGGATGCTGGAGCTGAGCGTCTCGAAGGAGTCTAGTCCTACAATATCACGCTCGCCAGCTTGCATGTACTTGTAGATCCAAAGAATGGCTTTCTTAGAGCCGTTGGGAATCATCAAGACCTTGTCTTGCCCATCGATCAGCTTCTTCTGTGCAGTCGGAGAGAAATGAGCCAGCCGCCTTACCGAAGCGCTCTCCAGACCAATGTATCGGTTGCTATCCGAGCCAACGAAAATGTTGATCTTAGGGCCTCTCTTTAACCTGCATTAAGAGTTACTACATGTAAAGTCAATGCAAGCAATGACCCATCGAGGAGACTTACTCAGCGAGCTGGTTCAGCGTAAGGGATGCGTTATGTGTGGACCTTCTTACTATTGCCATATCTACAGCTTCGCAAAGTAGATTGACTGTTGTCTCTTACTCAACGAATCTGCTATTGACTGTCAATAGAGGAACGAGTAAACTGATAGTATATATTCGATCCAAAGAGCTGCATAGTAAATCAAGTTGTTGAGGGAGTTCGTGTATGGCAAGACAGTAACGTTGTGGTTACTTACTGTAGAGCTAGGTAAAAGTTGTGGTTGAACCGGTAAGAAGTGGAGGGACTAGATAGAAGAAAGATTACGAGTGTATGGTTATATAATCAGAAGCGCTTTGGAGCCAATGTTGAAGCACTAATGGATCCGTCTAGCAGGTGAGAACGGACGGAGTGGCGGTAAACAGTAGTAAAGTGAAAGATTTGGTAAGGTTTCTCACCTGCTTGGTGACATTTCTGCTCAAAAAAGTCACAGAATGTACAGCAGTCCCAGCGGCAAAAGGTTCAGTATGGATGTGAGCGCGTGAAGTCGGTACATTCTCCGCATGTAATTCATATACAGACACTTGTTGACGCTAGCAAGGTCAATATGATGCTCTTCAAGAGGCTCTTTAGTGTTACCATTCGCAAAATGTAAACCAATACTGAAATCTTACCTCCTACTGGAACGTAAGAAGAGGGGCAATAACAGAAGCATTCAAACGCTCGTTTGCTCAGTGATGACTTGGGACGGAGCGATTGCGCTAGTCATTCAACCAGTGTAGGCGTGTACTTGAGTTCACCTTGGGAAGGCAGCAGCACCTGTTTACTCACATCCAACCCACTGCCACCACGATGCACTACCGAAGTATAACTGTGGGACTGCACTCGCAATTCGATATCGAAACGCTGCCTGAATACCGCCCCGACCACCATAGCATTTTTGACTCTACCCTGCAATACATCGAGGACAGGACGTCAACATGCAGCGTCTACTTTCCAGCCTTACCCGGCAGCACGTTTTGGATCGGATACTCCGTGTCACCGCCAGTGCCCGAAGGACACTACTTCCTCTTTAAGCTGTACATCAATGGCGCACACATGGTAAGCTGGTCGACAGGCAAAGAAGAGGAGTGGCAGGGCAAGACTATGTTTGGTCTATTTGAAAGCCCTGAGGACGAACATGGCAAGAGAAGGGTCGAGAAACGAGTGCTGTGCTTTGCAGCAAAAGACGCTGTGGACGTGTTCGACGACACCGCGCGCATCGAGATACGAGTACATCGTGCAGACAAAAGGAAGCGAGTCGAACGACAGGCAGAGGAATACAATAACACAGAGCATGCGAAGAATGGCAAGGGAATAAGGTACGCGCCAATCTAGTGCCACCACCATGTACTGCGCTAACTTTGGCAGCCTCGTTAACGCTGGGCGCGCAGGACCGGAGCAACCAAAGCGCTTTTACAAATTTGCCCTAATCGATCCGATCGACCAGCCCTTCGCGACGTTCAGGTACTATTACCGTAGCTGGGACCAGTTGCGAGGATTGGGATTACTTGACCAACACGTCAGTGGCGCCGGCGAGGATAACGACCTTCCTGTGATAGAGCCTCGAGAAGATGATATTAACGAAGCCAAGGAGGGTACCAGAGCCTGTAGCGTTGTCAGCAAAGATTTGGGGAGCGTATGCCAGGACTGCAGTGACAACTTGAAGGGACGAGCCGCTAGTGCTGCAGATACACGAGCGCAGAGCCAAAACCCCCATAGTCCTATGCGATCTACATCAGCGAGGGCGCGAAACCCCTTGACTCGAAAGGCGTCGATACGTCAAGTGAGCGATACAGAACAATCGCGCGCCTATGTTCCATGCGGCGCACCCGGATTGAATAAGGAAGCATCTGTTGAGCATGTAAGCAGGCAAATGCAACAGCGCGATAGCTTCATTCGTACACCAAGGTACTTTTACCGGCTCTCGATACCACCATCCATCAAAGTCAGACGTTCAGAACCAGCTTCGCGACCTCTACCTACACTTCCCACCAAGCACGATTTCGAGGCTTCCACATCATACTGCCCTCACCCAGCGTACCCTGTAGATGACTGGACTGTACGTACTCTCAGTCCGGTCAAGTCAGTTCGAGACGGCATATCCACTCCTCCACCGGGTAGACGCAAGGAACAGGGCCGCTCGACTTCTGCATTGATGAGTGCAATCACATCTGCATGGAAACGTCGAGGTACACAGACACCGGATGGAACGATAGCGACAGAAGGTACAGAAAATGCGCGAAGCTTGCCGTGATGCTGTTAGCTTGATAGAGCTGCAGTAGGCGTCGTGATTGTGATTGCTTCAAACTGTCCGCACCGAGAACGTTACATTGGAAGTTGGATGACAGTTTCGAAAAGACGATGCTGCTGTACATTACTAAACAAACACTCGAGGTGTCATGAGGTCAGGCCGCGTAAGATGAAACGTGAGACGATTGCCGATCTGCATTATGATGCAAGGCACCACACGCTGATTCGGTCCAAGGTTCCTCCACAACCCCGCAGAATGCAGCTACCCCAAGCTCTCATCCCAGCTGATAGCTTCAATGCTGCTGCGTTCCTGCTTCCTCTGTATATACCACAACCTGTAGCTCATAGTCCCATCATCGTAGTATCGAGCGCATCCTCTTATTCTTCATTTTGTTCCGTCTGTTGTACTTAATCGGCACCATGCGGCCTTTTGTTGCCGCGGCTGCGGCGCTCTTGGCAAGCGTTGTAGATGCTTCGAATCTCCAACCACCCGTCCTTCCGTTGATTGTCAGGAATCCATATCTGAGCACATGGTTGCAAAGTGCACGAGAGGAGCCATGGAATAAATGGCCCATGTTTTGGACTGGATCTGAGGTTTGCTGGACAGAGCCACCTTAGGCGTGCAATGCTAACAGTAACGCGGACAGGTCGGATTCAGTGTCCTGGCGTCTGTTCCAGACTCCAAGGAGGTATACCCACTGCTTGGTAGACCTCATGACTCTCTGGAGCACAAGGACAAAGAGTACGGGTGATCCGATGGCTTGAGGCGGATTTGTTGCTGACCTTAGTCTGTCCTAGTTACACGGTCGCGTACCCTACATACAACGGTGCTACATATGACGCGTCAACGACCAATCTTACATACTCAATACGAGCGTCTGATGCAATCCGTTCAACAAAAGACCTCGAAATCACCTTATCCTTCCTCTCACCCATTACACCGACCTCTACTCTGCGACAAACCATACCAGCGGCTTATCTATCTATACATGTCCAAGGGTCTTTCGATGTCAACATATACGTCGACGTGAATGGACAATGGGTCAGCGGCAAGAGGGAGAGTCTAATAGAATGGGGCTTGTTCCAGCACGTGGCGCCTGGCTTGAACGACAGATTAAAGACATGGCAAGTCAAGCGACAGGTTGAGCAGCTCTTCACAGAGACGAATGATCAGCCTGAGTGGGGTCAGCTGCATTTCACCGGACCTGTCGATGCGCGCCACGAATCAGGCACGTCCGCGCTGTTGCGCCAGCGCTTCGCTCGAACTGGGACCCTGCAGAACGAGGTTGATGGAAATTTCCGTGGCGTCATGGATGAAGAACCTGTGTTTGCATTTTCGAAAGCTTTCAAGCTTGCAAACTCGTCTACGGCTGCGTCAAGTTCCGGCAGCAACAGCGATAGCATCTTGTTTACTATCGCTCACATCCAGGACCCAGTAACGCAGTATGCGTCTGCTCGAGGTCTCACGTTCATGCGACCATTATGGAAATCTTGGTTCCCCCAGGATGACAAGCTCATCCAGTTCCATTACGGAGACTTCGCCATGGCAAGCAGTCTTGCGAGCAATTACTCTGAGCAGTTGCGCATCGATGCTTATCAATCTGGTTCGACAAACTATGTCGACATTGTTGCCTTGTCCGCACGACAAGTCATGGGCGCCACTAGCTTCTCCGGAACCAAAGAGAATCCTTTACTCTTCCTCAAGGAGATTTCTTCCAACGGTAATAGTCAGACCGTCGATGTGATCTTCCCTGCTTTCCCATTCTTCCTCTACACACAGCCTAGGTGGTTGGCGTACCTCCTAGAGCCACTTCTTGAGCACCAGCTGAGCGGTCAGTACCCTAACAAGTATTCTATGCATGACCTTGGCGCGCACTTCCCCAATCTGACAGGGCATGCTGATGGACGTGATGAGTATATGCCCGTCGAAGAATGCGGAGATATGCTCATCATGGGTCTGGCACTTGTGAACTCCCTTAGTTATAACTCCGATGCGGAAGCTCAGTCTATCTGGTCGGCTATCGGTAATGGTGCAGACCATGACGTTGATACCGGCAACGTGTTCTCTTTGAGCAGTATCGGCTTACATAATGGAGTTGAGTACATTGACGAGACGTGGGGTGGAAGTGCCAAGGGTATCGATCAAGCAAAGAGGTGGTTAGAAGGCAGCTACGATCTGTGGAAGCAGTGGACTGGATATCTTGTTGAAGACGCTCTTGAGCCTCACAACCAGCGTGAGTGTCAATGAGAAAGGACATGAAACCTGAGCTAACAAAACCTACAGTCTGCACTGATGATTTTGCTGGTTGGCTACCACTTCAAACTAATCTTGCCTTGAAAGGCATTGTTGGTATCAAGGCCTTCAGTGAAATTGCTGACCTCATGGACCGACCCGGTGATGCAAAGCATTATCGAAACATCTCAGAGACATATATTAAGAAGTGGCAGGAGTATGGAATGTCGCGCGATGGCACTCATGCTAAGCTTGCTTACGACTGGTACGGCAGCTGGACGACTTTATACTCGCTCTACGCCGATGCCGTACTCTGTTTCCACCCTACAATCACGAACACATCCAAATCAGAACAGTCGGAGTACGCATCTGGCAATGATAAAACTCAGCGGCCCTTGTCACCTTCAAAACATTCTTCTGGGCGTACACCCATAATTGATGACTTCATCCCGGATGAAATCTACAACCTCCAAAGCGATTGGTACTCTACAGTCATGCAAAAGTACGGGCTTCCTCTCGATTCCCGCCACCTATACACAAAGTCCGACTGGGAGTTTGAAGCCGCTGCCGTCGCAAATAAGACGGTTCGCTCGGAGATCCTTGATCGCGTAGCGCTTTGGTTGAATGAGACAGTCACTGACCGTCCTTTCACGGATCTGTATGTCACTGAAGGTGATGGCGGCTTTCCTGGACCGTGGTTCTTCGCGAGACCTGTCGTTGGCGGTCACTTTGCGTTCTTGACCTTGGAGAGGGCTTGCGGCGGTAGTGGTGGAAAGTAAGGCAGGATGTATCCGAACGACACCCTGCAGAAGCGTGATACGTATGGGCTCTTACTACGGCGCTTGCCAATCTACGGTAGCTTGCTTGACATTGCGTAGCTACGTTCTTTTACCAATATCAATACGACTTAGATTAGTGCAGATCTCCATACTATAGTGCCAGACCACAGTTTCAACGCCGATCTTGTGTACAATGTGTGTGAGATTTTCTTTGAGCCCGAGAGCGATGCCGTGCAGGGGCTGGCCTGGCTGTTTCCATATCCGGCGTAACGAAGAAACACAATCTTAGGGATTGCACCTATTTTGGTCAACAAATCTCCACGGCTGCGTATATTTGCATCGATATTCTCGAAACCTCAGTACAATATGAGGTTGTTTCATACCGAACTTGGGACTGTATGGCGATTGAGCATTCCACTTTCAACCCAACATGCATAGCTGTATTAGCAGATCAATGAGCAGAGACCCACTTTGTGCCAAATCCGGAGTACTCACAGAGAGACTTGACGTTGACGTTTTCAACAACTTTCTATTATTGTCAAAGGGTGTCGGACGGACAAAGAGCGCGCGGTCTCGAGAAGACACCTTCTAGCAACCGGCTCTTAAGTCCCTGAGGAATCGCGATACCGATCCCCCAACCAACAGCCTGATCATCATTTGCTTCAAGCCATATTAAAACAATAAGATGGTACTCTATCACGCAAACGGGAGAGTTGTTCAGGCACACGAAGACTATCTGGAACAACAAGCACATTCAATCGCGAGAAAATGTGATTATGTCGATCAGATCGACGTCTACAAGCAGAGAAATGCTGTCAAGTCTGCTGATGAAGTTCAAATTATCATCGATGGTCAAAAGTATATGACGCTCTATTGTGAGAGAGCAGGCGATTCGGAGATACTAGAAAAGTTCAGACAGACCAATGAGTACAAAATTCCCACGACTGTTGATCGCCGAACTCTAGTGGTCTGCTCAACCTTTGCTGAGGAATACTTCACATACAATCCATGGGAAAACGGCCTGCATTTACCAGTCTGCTACCCCAAAGGGCGAAAGGAGGACGATAAACTGGACCGTCAAATGGCTTTCATAAGGCGAGAAGAAATCGAGAACTATGTTATTCCATGGCTGAAGAGGATGCAGGAAAAATTTGGCAGGGCTGAGGCATCACACAGCGAACCGCCCAGGGGATCGACAACGCCGCTCAAAAGGACGAGGCTCGCACAGTCTTTAGTATCGTGGTCAGATCAGTCTGTTGTTATGGGTATACCCGAACTACTTTTGGACAAGATCCATCTCTACAATGCTATGCTCCAGTTAGGTCTGCCCAAGTTCGTACAATTGCCGCTCATCGATGCACTGGTTCTTCAAATGTACCGCACAAATCTTGAAGCGTGTGAACTCGACGCACTGGAGCACACAATCGGTCGCTTTTACTCAAGAGGTGTCGCAGTACTCGATCCAGTACTCAATCATTTCATTGGTACATACTCTTTCAGAAGCCTGGGAGATCGCACGAAGCCAGAGCCCTCAGGCCACAGTGCCAGACTGGCAGACGATACGGATGCTGCTGGCAAGGAATTGGCGAAAGGAATAACAGAAGAAAACTCAACAGAATCAGGGGCGATAGATGCAATAAATGAAGAGCAAGCAAACAGCACTACCACGAAGGCTGATAACAACAAATCAGATCTTGGACCTGAGAAATGGAAGAAGAAAAGACGATACCTTCAATATTGCGATTTGGACGCGAACCGCAAAGACTATACTCGCGATACATATATCCTACCACCCGAACTACCAGTCATTGGTCATAGTATAAGGCATTGGTCTGGCGTCCGTCGGAACCAGAGCACAGCTGCAGCGCATACCGGCTTTCCACTCAACATAGGAAAGTACAAAAAGCTCATCCGTCGTAATTCAACAGATGCGATCGATGAGAGAGATTGGTCTGAAGAGAAGACCAACCGCTTGATCGGTCAGACAGAGTATCAAGAAAACGGCCCGGGGAAAGAAAAAAAATAGACTCTGATCAACAAAGAAGACTGACGGCTACTTCAAACATATGCTGCACCTCGATCTGGAAATTCAGGATACTCTACAGGTAAAGATGCAGCGCTGGGTATTCTTATCCTATGTATTCACTTTGGGCAGGATACACAATCGGTACTGCTGCGGGCCGGGCCGTGGGCGGATTGCCTTACCATCTCAATGCTTACCTTTTGGTAAATTCCCAATCACTACATTACATTTGTGTATGTTGACTTCCTAGGTTTCGTGCTCACAAGAAGAAGGAACAGCGATTATCCGTTGGCATCGGGTCTGCATCATCAAACAAGTCGGTAGAGGAGGAGAAGTCCAAATACGATGAGAATAGTGACGTCATTTCGAAGGAGATGCCACAGGAAGGCAAGCTTGAAGGTTCTGCAGTGGGTACCGGAACTCACATGAAAAAGCTGGATGCTGTGAGAGTGCTGAAATCTACCAACACAATGTGAAACTCATAATGATTGCTTGACAATATCTTTCCACATGGTTTACGGGTGTTCTGATCAATCGAGATTTGTTTCATATCGTTGAAGTATTAATTTTGAAGTTGTGATGATAGGTGAACAATGGCTGCAGCTTATAATTTAGCAGATGTGAAGCCTGAACTTTACCGAAATGAAGTTCGTGCACATGCATCCTCTTGCCTTTGTTAAAGAAACCCACCAAGAACTAGGTCGAAAGGCTGCAAATGAATGCTGTGAGTGCTTTGATCGAATGAGACACTGCCATGTCGATCGGAGGGGACATTGTGTGCCGTTAAGGGCATAGAGTGAAACGTAAAATACGGAACACGTCGCATACCTGTCTGTCTCTCGTAGTAAGCTAGTATTGTTGTACGTGTATCGAAATATCTTTTCGTTGACTGAGAAAGGTGGTTGCCATGCTGGAGAACCAAGTATGCACGGATATAGCCCTTCATTCCGTTCTTTTTAGTTGATTTGCAGCATCCTTACGTAGTTTTTTACGTTTGGGAGACCAGTGCTTAGCGATATCGTGCTCCGGTCGCGTACGATGACATCTGTGCGCTCATGGTTTTGATGCCTATGTGGCAGTGGTTTGCAAGGCGTCGCCTGGCGGAGGTTCAGCTTTGGACTTGTCATTCATGGGTAATTCTGCATTTCTGAACAAATTTTCCATCGCATACAGAAAAGGAAGGTGAGGCCGGTTCAGCGTGAAGTCAGAGTAAATTGGGCGTTATAACACTAAAGGTCCCATGCTCTTGGTCAAATAAACTGGCGTTCTAGGCTTCGAAATTCTTTCAGAGGTCGAAATCATCCCAGTCTAGTACATCTTCTTCTTGCTTAGACAATTTTGACTGAGGTTCGTTCGGTCGAAATGCTGGAGTACCCAGAACTATAGGTGTATTTTGCGCAATGGCAGGTCTATTGTCGGTAGCTTGTCTAGGCAGCGTGATAGTAGTCGAATATTGACAATCAAGAGTCTTTTCAATTACGTCGTTGTCTCTTTCGGATGCACTCTCGTCCGACTGAGAATTAGGACTATCATGCCCTAGAGAGAGTCCGCTCGCGACGCTAAGCGGCGAAAATGCCTCCCTCTCTCGCAATATACTGGACTGCGTAGACTCGCCATTCAATTCAAGTTCTTGCTTGTTGGCCGCTGTTATTGCTGGATCCGCGGGTGATGCTACAACCGGTTCATCACGTGTGGAAAGGACTGATGCTTTTGATATCGGTAGATGGAATGCGCTGTATTCATTGTTGTTTGACGTGTCCTGGGCGACAGCAGCCGGCGTTGGTAGCGCCGCTGGTTGCGCTGCAGCTCTAGCTGCGAGAGGACTGAAGTCGAATTTCGCCCAGTCAACTATGGCGGGAGCAGGAGTAGCCCGGGAAACCTCCTTTGGATCTTCAAGCCAGTCCATACGACATGTGTTTGCATACACGAACCAACCGGCGACACCGTCGTCCATTCGCGCACCATAGGCCATCTGAGACTCTTCACCAGTCGTGATGTCAGTGTCAAAGATGCCATGCTCATACACCACGACTATGGAACCGCTCGTGATTGAGATACAGCCTCCATCTCTCAAACTGGAAGTGGGTTTCCAGGTTTCCAGGACTCGTCGACGCTCAGGCCTTGTTGTGATGAGGCCCATCCAAGTCGGTTTGTGCCCTTCGAAGCGAACTGGCTGCGTGTCTGGTACTCCTATGAGCTTCAGATACACTGCTACTGGAAGCAATCCTTGCTCAGTAGCCACGTGAACCTTATCATTGTATAGGTAGAGATCGCAGTCGTCAATGATCCTAGCAGACTCCCTCTTCGAAGCCTTCTTGCGACCCAGATCTTCAGCCGTCCAAAATCTCTTCCTAGACAAACGGAGCGCCTCTTGCCGCAGAACAAGCATCTTGCGACCAAAGACTTCGGCTTCGCTCTCGTTGTCGGAAGATCTTTTTAACTTATCAGATGGCTTGTTCACGATCTCGAATGGGTACCAATGATTGATAGAGCGCGAACAAAGGAGAGGTATGCTGTAGGCGTCATAAGCGACGAAGGTAAGACCCTCCTCAGGTAAGCGGTTCTGCTCTACATGCAATCGTTGGTCGTTCAGATACTGCTTGATTTTCTGGTTCCGTCTTTTCATAGCGACGCAGTTCACCTTTACCGTCTCTGGCTCCTTCGTTCTCTTCGCCGGAACCATGTCATTATCTTCTACCTCATCTCCTCTTCGCTTATTGCGCTTGGTCGGAAGCATATCTGCCTTGCTTGGAACTGCTGCAAAATTTGCCGTCGCCACAGGCTCTCTAGTATCGACCACACCAGCTTGTATCTCAGATGTAATCTTGCTAGTGCTTTGCTGCCGAAGTTTGGGGTCTGCGACATTGGTATTGTCAAAAGCTTCGTCCCGCGATTGCAAACCCGCGAGCTCATTACTAGCACCAGGTTGTCGTACAGGACTGGCTTCGCTCTTCTGATTAGGGGCATGTGGAGTCAACACATTTGATCTTGCCTTTGTTGGCGGTGTCCGCACGGTCTTGTGATCGTCCTTGCCACTATGCACCGGCTCAGCATGTCTTGATGTCTCCGAAGCTGTGTCTGGTATCGTAGCTTTGTTCGGACCAATGAGTGTTGACCTGAACCTTGTACTGCGAAACCTTCTCTTCTCCTCCTCACTCATATCCTGGATTGCGGCCAGATCTGGAATCCTTTCGAGCCCATTCTTGTCTATCTCTTCCATCAGAGTACCTTCGCCGCGCGGTGGTTTCATACCTGCAACCGGCTGCATTTCTCCAGCTTCAATGAGTGCTTTCTTGTAGTCATGCTGCTTGTTGTCGTAATTCTCCTCTCGTCTGCGCTTTGCAGGAACTTGATCCACCCTACCTTGAACCAAACTTCTGCGGATTGCTTGGGTCATCATTGGGTCGTCGTGAATGGTATGGGCTGCCAGTGGGGTACGTGACCGTTTGTCATCTCGACGGTGAGCTTGTCGTTCACCTTGAGCGTCTCCCCGACGTGGTGACATGCTCCGCCTACCGCCACGTCCGCGCCTACTACGCCCTTCTTTAACTACTTGATCTTGGTCTTGAATTGCTTTACTTGCTTCTCTTCGATGATGGGGATCTGTCGCGGTCCTACGGAAAGTATCGTGGGCGCCACTAGCCGATTGTTGCGGCTTGCCCGATTTCGTATTGCGTTTTCTAGTCATGGTGCTGATCATCCACATATGAGAACAATGTGTGATTGGGATGCGAATTGGTCGTGTGTAGATGTGAGTAAGTTGGGGTGAGTATTGAACAAGGGCGTTGTGTGGGTCCACTGTCGCACGCTAGTCCCACACTCTCGACTGTCTTTATCAGCCACTTTCACTGCGGCCATGCTTTCACAGTCACATCTTGGAGGAATAATGCTACTTCGGACCCTATCGAGGCCAAACCGTAACGTTATGAACGCATAATTGTGTCATCATGAATTAGTGGGTGCCATCGCCGAGACAGGCAGGCACTGTTTGGGGTGAAAGATACTGCAATCATAATCTCGCTCACACAACGACCTACCCATCGAAACGGGCCCACAAAGTTCAGTAGACTCGTTGTTCTCCGCAATAACTCTTGAGACTATAAGATGCTTCTACTGCTCCATCGAAACGTTCCAGCCACGGTTGCAAGCGTACAGCTCTAAGATAGCGTTAGCAGTATGAAAATAGACACTACGCATTCTTGTAGTCATAACGCGAAGGATACATTCGGCAGCCTGTTGTCCGAGACACATACTCGTCTCTTAGAAGTACCTTCGCTCCCGCTTGTCGTGTCACATTCGGGCACGCCCTTTGATTACGCCGAGCAGTGTTCTGCTTCAAAAGGCATTGTTTCAGTGGACCAAAATCGTTAGATGACCGAACAAGTCAATAGCGAAAACCGTTCATAAGCCATTGAGCTCCCCTTCCTAGCACTTGCAAAGTTTCGCAGGCGTTTCGGACCTGCTACAAGCAATGCCCACACATCGCATACGTCCCTCTTGCTATTGTTGACATCTTACCCAGTTACGCTATGTGTGTCCTCCACTGGCTTATCCGCTGAGAAAGGAGCAAGGCATCCGTCCTTCTAATATGGGACACACGAGAAGTTGACAATGAGGACAAGTAGTATTGGCTCTACAGATATGCGGTTATGCGCGCTCTTGGCATCGAAGCTGCTAAAGATCTTCAGCAGTTCGCCGAACATCTCATCGACCATGGAAATCTTGTCGCAGATTGTAGCAGCTACTCATGCATCCTGCGGGCCTTGCAACCATCGGGGTCGATTATAAAATATCTTGCTGGAAGAATGGCTAGGCAGATGTCGACGAATATGCCTCGGTTGTCATCAGCGTAGTGCGACAACGTACGCGCTGCGCATAAACTTTTCGCAATCCTTGTCGATGGAAGGATGCAAAGGTGAATTGGTTGATTCAACTCAATCCGTTAGCCGTGTGGATTGAGCATATCTAGAATTATGGTAAGCGGTGAGAGTACGGACGTCTCGATTACAACAAGCAAGGAAGCTCTGGAGTTTGGTGTTCAGGCAATGCGGGGTCCCGAAGCTCAACACACTAAGGCCTTTTCAGAAAGCCTCATCATGGAATCCCAAGCAACTCATCTCACAGTCACGTATGATTCCCAGTTGAGCACCTCAACACAAATGTAGAAGTCGGTCAGTCACATACGTCGTGTACACCGCATCAGGTGTGAATCACATGTATATGCAAGAGTTACGCTGCGTCTTCCCGGCCCTGGCTAGCTCCTTAGCAATTTTCTTTTCCCCTCCAAACCCCTTTTACTACCAGATCAATGCATCATCTCGTTCCACGGTCCTCTCAACCACTTCTCTCAAGGTACATACACCGCTTATCGGTGATTCGCCCGCTTGACCATAGCTTTGCTAGTCTCATTTCCCTCTTTCCGGCTTCACAATGAGGACAGGACGTTTCTGGGGATAGAAATGCTGATGTATGATGCATGACGAATTCCTCCATGTCTTGATCGAGCAATGTTTGAGAGTGTTTTTACTGATGTTCTCATCGCCTAGCTGACATGGATTCTCATCTGTTGATCGGTCATTCCACACTGAATAAACTGTTGTCACCGCCAAATGTAAGGCAAGTACCGCCTTGGTCGTGATATAGTCCGGGCGAAGAAGGATGAACACCGCCTTCTAGAAAGAAGTTGTCAGGGCTCAGATACTTCATAGACACAGTCATCTGGGGGATGCGCTAACACGCTCTAGCTCAATGCGAGAGTATGTTCCTGCATAGGTCAATATTACACGTGCAGTGTTGAGACAGAACGGTACAGTGCTGCAGGTGTCTTCTGCCTGCATACTACGCTTTGACTTCAACTGAAAAAGGCGATGGTGTTGTCAACATCTGCGTATAAGAAGGGAGGCATTCTCTTTTCTTTGGGAGTACAACCTCAAGCATCACCTTCATATCATCGACTTTCCACTCAACAATACAATCATCACATCTTGATAGCCATCATGCGTTTCACACAAATCGCCACTCTTCTTTCCGTTGCCGCTGCGGCCAGCGCCCAATATACGTACAACATCACTCAGGCAGAAAAGCCGGGTAACATGGAGAAGTACAAGTGCTTGTAAGTTTAGATCTCCTAGAAGTTCTAGACCAACGTGCTAATCAGGAGGCGATAGGGACAACAAGAAACTCAGCAGCTGGATGCCAAAGTGCCTTCACGAATGCCAGGATGCGGCCAACAAGGATGTGACCAACAAAGCCCCCAAAGATAAAAAGTGTGCGGAACATGACTTTGCTTGCCACTGCATCGATTATAGTCACTACTCTGCCGTAAGTCTTCAGACTCGATCGTTTTGTTGTGTTGATAGGACATTATCTAATGTTATCAAAGCTCATTGAGCCCTGCGCTTTTCCCGCCTCCCTTGGTGGTGAGGGAACCTGCTCTTTTGAGGAACTTAGCAAGGCACGCCCTATTGTTCAGGACATGTGCAACTTCTTCAACGCTACCCTCTACGATGCCTACGAAGAGTGCCATATGGAGCTTAGCGAGGACTACACTTACGAGATCCTTTCTGAGGAGGAGTTTGGAGAGGTCACTTACTAGAGAGATATCGGAGGGAAAATAGACGGAACATGTAGTGTCAGTTGGCGGTTTTGTTGAAAATAAGAGGAATAGGATCTTTCTAAATTCATCTGCTATTACTTCTCTACCTATCTACACTGTCTTCTCTTGATTGATACAGTTCTCGCTCATAAAGAAACATGCCTCATACAGAACCCAATTGTTCGTCTTATTCAACTCTCACTGACCTTCGTTTGTACAGACTTTTACTCCTCATGTTCTTATACATAGGTCATTAAGCCACAATCATTTAATCAGCGAGTTCATAACATCTAATCGCTACCTCATCGTAGTCTTACAGCGACCTATCAAGAACTTTCCTCTCTCGTGCCCTCCTCACCACCAGCCTATCTTGTCTCTAAACCACAACACACTTTTCGTGCAACTTCCTCTCAGCCAGCCTGAAAGAACTCTAGAGGCACACGACGGATCTGTACAAGGGGGTGATCGCCATGGTGGCGTGTCCAGTGACGGTAATGGTAGTGGTACCGGCAGCAAGTACCAATCTTTGGAGGTTTGCATCTCAATCCATGACAGTGCTTGATTAAGTTCCGCTTCGTTGTAGCAAAAGGCACATCGCGTGTATGGCCGCTTCTCTTCGCCATGTCGGGCTTTCGTATGGAACTTCATATCGTTGGTAGATTTCTCATCAGGTGTATTAATCCATTCACATACTCTTGTGTGGTTACCATTACGGCCTGATTTCCAAGGCCAAATTGGATTAGGAATCCGTTAGTCCTGCTGTCTGCGAAACTTTCGGTATGGTTGAAGGCGACGCATGAGTGCGCGGCAGTAGGACGCGCCAGGAATGCATCCCGTTCGTGGCGTAGGTCAAGAGCTGCTATGTGATTGATGAACATCGCGGAGCTGTCGGGTGCTCACATCCCAGGAAGATATTTCGCCGTCTGTTGTGCCGATGCCTAGAAGATGCAGCAATCCAAGACGAGTAGCAGCGTTGCGCGACTCAACGTAGCACTCTTGGCAGATCGTGACGCGCTCGCGTGTGCTACGCACCCGTTCGACCGCGGGAAGTTTCCACCGTTCGCCACAGCCTCTCATTTTGGACTTCGATTTTCGAACTTCTCACCATTGTGCTTGGACTAAAGATTGTCGCGTCGTCGTGCGATACAGTAGCTGGGCACCAGCCACCCCTGGCGTTTTGACCATTCTGGCTAGGGTCTGCACTGGTAACATAAACAGACCTCTACCTGAACTTGCCATATACGAATATAGGCTCAAGATCAATAGCGGCCCCGTCTACTCAGCAGTACTTAAGCTTGTGACTGACTGATCAGTAGTTGGTGGTTGGCCGCTGGCGAACCCCCGCTGCTGTATGGTCTTGGTTTCTTTTTTGCTCGAATCGCTGACCATCTTGAGCCTATTTGTGGTCACTTTTAGTAGGTCCGAGGGCATTACCCCTTTCTTCTCTGGCTCACAGCATCGCCTCCACACGTATCGCGTCCATATACCATCGACTCGGTCGTTCTTACCCCGAGATTAAATTGCGGAGATGTCTTCGCCTGCCTAGAAACCCTGTCGATCTACCCCACCTCCGCAGAGCCTACGCTATCACCTATAGCCTACAAGGCTCGCCAAGCATGGACCAAACTCGTTTAGGACCATGTACATCACGTATGGTGGACACACTCTTGCGTGCGGGCTAGCCGACGGATATCATACCGTAAGTGTGATGGTAGACCGGACATTGGATGGGTCAAGGCCCGTTGCAGTCAGGCCGTAACCGGGTATCTGGGTCGAAAATGTAAGTACAAATGCTTGCGTCTCGAGCCATCAGGCAGGAGAATAAGCCTTCCATCTGGTTGCGACTTCTTTCACTCTTTGCTTCATCTCAAGATGCTGGGAGCCTTCATTGGCCTTGTTGGTCTTGTCGGCTATGCGACCGCTCAAAGCGACTCCGTCAAAGTCAAATGGATCGATGATACGCCAGAATACCTCGCTGGCGTAACGTTCGGTTTACCGTGGCCTCGTGGACAGCACCTTGCGAACACTACAACTTTCACAGTATCCGGCGGCGCGGACCTTCAGTCGTGGGTCACAGCCTACTGGCCAGATGGAACGTTGAAGTGGACCGGGCATGCTCTGGGAGCCAGCGACTCTCCTGCCAGCGAGTACACGGTCACAGCTTCAGGTGCAGGCAATTCTTCAACCCTGAAGTTCAAGCGTCAAAGCAACGGCATCCAAGTTAGCGACTCTGGCGAGGAGATCGTTGTCAACGCCGGCAAGGTCGCAGCAACATTTCCTAAGTCAGGCAATGTCCTGGTATCTGCCATCGAGGTTGGTGGGAAGACAGTCGGAAGCAACGGTCATCTAGTGTTACGCTCACAAAATGGTACACCCGATGATGACGAGGACGGTAAGCCGATCGGCATTGAATACTTCAGCTTTACCAGCAAGGTATCCAATGTCACAGTGTCGGAGGATAACACCGTTCGTACGTTGGTCACAGTCAATGGTGTTCACACTATTGACGGAGATGGTGCCCACAATGACTGGATTCCTTTCACTGTTCGCTTCTACCTCTACGCCAATTCTGAAGCGATTCGCGTTATTCACACGATCATCTATGATGGAGATATGCATAAAGACTTTCTTTCGGGTATCGGTATTCGCTTCGATGTTCCCCTCGCCGAAGAGGAGTTTTACGATCGCCATATCCGGATTGCGGGTGTTGATGGCGGAATTCTTCACGAAGCCGTTAAGGGCGTTACCGGTCTACGTCGAGACCCAGGTGTCGACATTCGATCTGGACAATTCAATGGTACTGTCCTACCGCCCAACTCCACGTGGGACCAAAGAGTGACTACTCGTCTACAGTGGATCCCGACATGGAGCGACTACCGCCTAACACAGCTCTCGCCTGATGGCTTCAATCTTAAGAAGCGCACAAAGGCTGGCCAAAGCTGGGTCAAAATTCCAGGTGGTACACGATCAGGCGGCCTGGCTTATTTAGGAGGAGCTACGGTTGGCGGTCTTGCTGTGGGCCTTCGTGATTTCTGGAAGAAGTATCCTACTAGTCTGGACATATCCAACGCCGCGACCGACACAGGGTCGATCACCATGTGGCTTTACAGCCCTCAGGCCGGACCTATGGATATCCGTCCATACCATGATGGACTTGGACAAGATACCTACAAGAAACAACTGGACGCTCTGGACATCACCTACGAAGACTGGGAAGGGGGCTATGATACTCCTTACGGCCTTGGTCGGACTAACGAGCTTTATATCTACGCGTTTGACACCACGCCATCCGCTGAACATCTTGCAACACTCACCAACTTCACTAACAACCCACCTGTTCTTATCGCCGAGCCAGAGTACATGCGGGATACCAAAGCAATCGGGTCGTATTGGGACGTGCCTGGTACCATTGAGTCCACCCAAGCGCAGACTATTGAGTCAAACATGGATTTCCTCATCAAGTTCTACGAAGACCAAATCGAGCAGCGCCGCTGGTACGGTTTCTGGGACCATGGGGATATCATGCATACATATGATGACGACCGCCATCAATGGAGGTACGATATCGGTGGCTATGCCTGGGATAATTCAGAGCTGTCACCTGATCTTTTCTTTTGGGACTTTTTCCTGCGCACTGGCCGCGCAGATGCTTACAAGATTGCCCACGACCAAGTGCGTCATGGAGGTGAGGTTGACTCGTATCATCTGGGAAACTTCACTGGGCTTGGTACGAGGCATGGTGTTCAGCACTGGTCGGACAGCGCCAAACAGGCTAGGATCTCAACTCCAGTCTACCGTAAGACCTTTTACTACATCTCTGGTGGTGATGAGCGGACTGGTGACCTGGTACGCGAGGTCATTGATGCCGACAAAGCCTTCCTTCGTGTAGACGCGAGGCGCAAGGTGCGAGAGCCTGGTATTATCTACAACCCTGACCCCGAAGCATTGTTCCTCAACTTCGGAACTGATTGGGCTGGTATTGCACAAGCATACCTTATTGAATGGGAGCGTCGTGGGCCACGCTGGGAAGAATCGCGCAGCAAGCTTGTCGAATCTATTGTGACATACCCCAAGCTCAAAAACGGATTTGTTACCGGCGAGGCATTCTACAACAGTCTTACTGGAGCTTGGGCACCGCCACCTACGGACCCGAACAACACCGGCAACGTTACCGTTTCGCATCTGTCTGGTGTATTTGGCGTTCTTGAAACCATTGATCAGCTAATGGATCACTTTGGTGCGGAGCAGAAGAATGTCACCCAACCCTTCTTCGACGCATTCCTGGACTACTGCTACTACTACGGCGCTGGGAAAGCCGAGCAGAGGGCCCGGTATGGCAAGGACTTTGGCAATCTCAGCCTGATGCAGGGTCACTCCCGCTTCACTGCCTATGTAGCTAACCACCGTAACAACGCGACACTCGTTCCAAGAGTTTGGTCAGAATTCTTGGGCGATGGTAGCAAGGACGGCCTTGCGCCGGGTGCTCCGTGGGCGAGAGTAAGGGTCGATGGAAGTGATGCACTTATCCCTGTTGATGAAGCTACATGGGTCAGCACAAACGCGGCAGCATTATATGGTGTTGCTGGTATTGAAAATTTGGCTCTTGTTGGTGCGCCGGATGTCAGCACTATTGGTAGTGGTAATGCTACTACAAAGAGGTCTGTATAGGCGCGCGCGTCGGAGACAAGCATCCTTCTTGGATTTCCCTACTACGTCTTTCTCTCCTCTTTTGATAGTGTTCTTTCTTTACATGTTGTAAATAGTCGTCAGGAATGTAGAATAACAAGGCGTGTGAGTATTCTTCTCTCGGGGTGAGACAGAGTAGCTGTCTTACTTCCTTCAATTCATGATACTAGTTAATTAAATTAATATGTTGGTCATGTGAACATGCTCATGTCGGAACCGCATCTTTGTCGTCAGATCTGCTCACATCGCCAGCTTGCCTCGACTGGACGCACAGCCCACACCCTCTCCTAGCTAGCTTTACGTCTCGGAACGCC